GCAGCTGTGACGAAACGAGACGATGCTGATAACAAGGACATCACGGAAATAAAAGATAGAAAAGCTGAACTATCGTTATTTGGAGAGAACAACAGATCTATGAACGTGGTTGTAGGTAATTGAAGTTATTAATAGCTTTTTTTACAACTCCTTCTGATAGTTGGTGGAAATAAACATGTGATTGATAAAACCATGGACGGCCTATCTGTCAAGTCTTCTGGCGGATGGTAAAAATGTTTCAGATCTTGGTACACATTTGATAAAATTCATTGCGATTTTTGTACAATAACTACACGACACTTTACAAATAAGTACATTGATAAGTTTACATTAAGAGTTTGACTTAGTTCACATATATGAATTAGTTTTGTGATGCGAGGTTATCGAATCATTTAGCTATGAAAGCCAATTATAAGATTTCTGAATTTTATCCACTACTTGCTGAAATTTATTAACTACAGTCATAAACTTTTTTACTGTTACATACCTTCCAATACAAGTCCGAGTTTTGATCTAATCTTTCATTTGATAACGAAGACGGTGAAGTTGAGCCCCTGAAACAAAAGTAGAATAATGTTACACCAGGTGATGATACCAGGTAGGGTCGAACATTTTGAACATCAAACGTAATCTTTTGATGTACTCAGCTTCAGGCAGTTTTTGATTCTTGAATAGAGAAGTTAGGTATGTTTCATTCTTGAACTCACTGAATGATCCGAGTCGGAAGCTGATTGAGAATCGCTTTCACTGGCCTTATCATGAACAACGCACTGAATGAAGAGAAGCTTGTGAGTGCATTCCCCAGTTATAGAACAAACCTTTACTTCAGAATCATCTAATGATTCCCCCATAAACCATGAGTTGGAACTTGACATTTGAATATTACGAATGATATCTTCAAATCCAAATCGTTTGCTTCTGAACCATATTATAAGTCTTGTTCATACGATTATTATCCTACTTGATGTGGTCTTCGAAGCTATGTCTTCTTTTGTTTCTATTTGAAGAAATGGTACTACCCTTACTAGAGGAGTCATCTACGAAAGATAGTCCGTTCTGTATGAGCCAATCAGATAAGGGCCGGCTCAGCATCTGTAACAACAAGATAAAATTCAGTTTGTTTTTAGTAGAAGCCACCTTTGCAAATTCACTGCTTACTACAGTATTTGAATCTGTAGAGCCTTTACAATCGTTCAACACATCGAAAGAGCTGGTTTCTGACTGATCGATTTCGATTGTGGGAGAATTAGCCTATTAGAAATTTTAGTGAATGGATGTTGCAAAGGTTTACCTTGAGAATTTCAAACTCAGCTACCAACGTGGAGACATCAGCATCAAGAGCAGCTCCGGAGGGAATGCTTGTAAGCCATTGTTGAACCTGAGGAGAATTAAAATTACTTGAGCTTACTCCCAATCGAACTTACAGTAGTAGCTGGAGCTGAGAACACTTTTCTTTCTCTATTGGGAGCGTAGCGAAAAACTGACTTATGGCTCATCCCAATATCGTCTTCATAATCTTCAATTTCTCGAGGTAGACTCTCACCCGACTAAATAGAATGTAAAAAGATAAGCATGAAGAAACAACTCACAGGAACAGATTGGACGTTACAGATGATATCTTGAATGAAACCAAAAGTATAAATGGCACAACGGAAAGTCAAAATATCTTTTTCAAAGGCAACCATTCCGGCGTCTTTTATAGTGTGGTCAATGCTATTAAGTCTGGAACACTTCAGATCAGAACCAAAACACGTAAACTAATAACGAAACCTCATCATAATAGCATCATGATTCTGAATCGCTTCGCTTGGTCGGCTCTTAACGACTTCTAAGATTTTATCACATAATACTGAATAGAAAAAAGGATCAGAAGATGCATATGGTGAACTCACGAATTCCATGATAGACTCTCTGTTGTTGCTCAGCCAACTTAGTTTCTTTGGTGCGAACAACTTTATCAACTTCATCTAATAACTCTTGCTCCCTAGTACGAATCATGTTCATGAGCTGACTGAAAGTCTCAGAAATCTCTCTCCTAGTCTATAATGTAGGGTGAATTGTTAAATAGCTACTATATCTCTATAACTTACCGATGCAGCATTCTCACGAAGAGCTGCCTTAGCTGATGAAATACATGCAGATGTATTCATAAAGATGTTATGCTTTTGGGAAAGCTCAGCCTCAACCGTCTTGGAGTCCATTTAAGGATGCTAAATACTTACAAAGTTATATAGAAGATCGGGAAAAGTAAAAAGCAGCTACTTCTCGAAAGCAAAACTATGAACTGACCACCGATAAGAATTGAAACGAAACAGATATGAGGATTGATAAAACAAATTGTCCACTAGGACATATAGAAAAGCACGCACACATCGAAAACTTTATGTATTACACAAAAGGTAACCCTGTTCCTATGTTTGAAAAGATAGAAAAAAGAAGAATAAAATATTAATACAGTAGAAAGATGAAACTCTTTCAAATATTTAACTAGACAAGCATTACACCAACACAGTGGTTTAATATTCGAATGAAGTGAAGAACGTGTTTTATTGTCGAGGAAGAACCAGACTGAAATCAGAAGACCTCAAACAATCAATTAGAAATAATCTCACCTGGAGATGAGGGTGATAAGAGGGTTGGGCATACTGGTCTCAGGGTGATCTCCAGCACATCCTCCCATATCGATATGAGAAAACTTGAGAGGATGAGAGCTATCAGTTCCATGCTCATCAATACGAGAAGCCTGAAAGTTAAACCTTGAACAAGCGCAGCTGTAAAACTTTTCTAACCAAGATAAGGAAAGCTCCTGGCGTTTGATGTCCTCTTAAAGTTTGAACACTTGGCTTTGTATTTCCTTGTCTTAAATCAGCTTGTGGTCCTTCTGAGAGATGGAAGGCGAAATCCTGAATAGAAACAGATTTGAACTGTACGTATCATTAAATGTACCTCAGGGTGAAGTCTGCTAATTTCGATTGGTTGACCATAAACATCACCGGTTTCTTGGACTTTCTTAGACCATCCACTGTTTTTGGCTGGACCATTATCCATGATTGTGGCATAGTATCCATAGGATACGATTTCATGACCAGTTAATGTAGCCAAAGTCATCAGATGGGGATTTACAGCTGATAGAGCTTCTTCTCTAGCTTTGGTTAGGGGGTCTAACATGGTAATACGTCCTTCAGCGTCAGTGTTATAAATATGAATGCGTTTTCCACTGCGAGCCTTGATAACTTCATCACAGGTGTATGCGCGGGCTCCAATACTGTTTCTAACCATACACATGTAGCCAACGACCTGAGAAAAATAAACAACATAGTACAGCTTTCAACCAGATTCTCACTTTGATGTTCTTGGGCTTCAAAATTTCCAGAGCTTTGAAGAATCCAGCGAGAACAGCACTTCCATACTTATCGCGACACATACCAAACATATGTCCACCAGTCTTGAGATCACATCCTCCGGTATCCAAAGTAACTCCCTTACCGACCAAGAAGAAAGTATCTTGGGTTTCTCCCTCTCCATTATACTCTAAGCGAATGAGTCTGGCCTGAAGATAAGGATGAGATTATTATCTAGGATGTTAAATAACCCTATGTTCAGGTACAGTGTTAGCGCATCTATTCACAGCATGCATCAAAGGATACTCTCGGAGAATAACATCTTGATCATCTTCAATTTCAACTTTCACGGATCCTCCAGAGAATGCTTCCTGAAAACAGATATATATTATTCAGTTGATCAAGACTGGCGAGAAAGTGCGAATAAGAGATAAAATCATTACCTTAACATAGTCTGCTACTCTCGGGGGAGCCATACGTTCAGGTCCTTGTTCTCCGATATCTCTGCAAACAGTCATTGCTGCCTCATAGGCAGATATGATATCAACAAGACTAGATGTGTTAGAATGCTGGAAAAAGAGAAAAAAATGTACTATAAATAATTATAGGATCAACTCACACTAAGGAAACCTAATGAGTCGAGCTTCTGTGTGTAGGTCTCTTCACGAACATTCAGTGGAGTGTAAGCAGGAAGCAAAGCACCTAATGCTGTTACTAATTCAGCTTGTGGAAAACGTTGAGAAGGTACTGTGATTAGGAGAGGGGACCGCATACCGACTGAGAGAGCCCTGAAAATAATTAATGTTTTCAGAAAACATTTCGGCTTAAAGCATAAGAGCAACCGCTTCTATTGGTTCAATTAATGAAAATGAAAGCCACATCACGTCAAACGACGTGACCCTTGTGAATCACGCTCAAAGCAACAAACATCAAAACACACACACTCATCTTTTTTAAACAAAATTGGTTTTTTTCGAGAAAAATTGGATAAACAAATAATTCGGATAATTTAAAAGATATGAAAACTCCTCTTGCACTATGATCAATCATTGCATTTTCTTGATAAGAACAATGATTGTAATTAAGAGTGCTCGAAAAAATAATTGTTTTAATCTGGAAAAATTATCTTACAGTTTCATTCCGTCTTTGCCGGCGTTCTGGAAACGACGAACGTCATCATAATCTCTGGAGACATTTCCTTCAAAAGCGGAAAGTTTGTTATAAATTCCATTTCAAAACCTGTTCCGGAAAGGATGATTCTCCCTGATGGAACAATATTTTTATCGACAAGCACAAGCGACGTGGTGTTAATAAAATTTTGGTGAACCTATACGTATAACTCTATGCGAAAAACGTTGGAAGCAACTGGGTACCTCAGCAAAGTTATGTACAACTCCAGCTAATCCCTGGGTATGTTCGTAGTTCAAAAGCTGCTTAGCGCAACTTGTGACTAGGACAATGCCATCGAAAGCTGTGTCAGCAATAGAAGATGCCTTCACAAATCTGGTGGATAGATAATTCATTGTAGAATCCGAGACGAGAGCCTGAAAAGGAATGAAGAACTGAGTACAATTTTGCTCAACATGTGATGAAGTTTGGAAATTGAAGATAAAGTATTAAGGGCTTAAAATAAAGTAACACTGAAATGAGGAATGTTCGACTAGCTGATCTACAGAATAAGTAGATAAGACGAAATCAAGTAGTTTATCAAATGAAAATATTAAAATCAAATCCTCTGAACAAATAAGGACCATGATTGGATTCGAAACACAAATGATGGAAAGTATAATCGAAGTGACACAATAAGAGCAATGGAAGGCGTAAAACCGATAACATACTCATCAAGTCCTTTCAAGAATTTTCAACTATTAAAGATCATAAACTTGATATATCATTGGTTAGTTAAATAAAAAGTATCACACTTCTTACTGGAAAAATAGTATGAATGAAAATGTCGACGAGTTAACGCCCATAATGCAGTCATATCGAACGATATAAAACCTTAAGCCCTGTCGTCACGACGGAAATGACGTACGCAAAGTCGCGTAAATGTCGCGTAAGACTGATTTTTCCAAGTAAAAATGATAAGTTTTCCCAGCGAAGTGTGTGTTTGAACTTTAATTCTGCTTTCGTTGAGTGGAAAGAAGATTCTTAAGCTTTTGTAGATGCGTGAGTGTGCTAGTCAATAATTGAGAAGCTTGGGAGGAAGATGTTTAAGAGGCATCAATGGTCATCGTCTTCTGGATGAAACCATTGATTTCGGGTTTTAAACGAGTATGATCTTCGTCATATGTTGTAAATAACAAGGAAGTCATTTAATAGGACAACAATATGGACAATACTAGATAAGATTTGTTACAAACGTAACTAGAGAGTCAAACGTGTGTTTGTGGCTGTTTTGACGAAATAATCAGAGGGAACTTAGCAGCTCACGTTATTAAGGGGAAGATCTTGTGAGAACTGACATTGACATGAAGATAACAGCTTTTTAGGATAGATAAGAAAATAAAAACAATACTACTTGACGTGTTTGACAGTACCGTAGAGGAGATGGAAGTTGTGGGACATGTCAATAGCAACTACTACTGCGTCCACATCAAAAAGGATTAAATCCTTTTTTGGTGCAGCTGATAAGATATTCCGATGAGGACTTTGTCACGCGTGCTTAACATTTTTCTCAAGTATCTTTATCACGAATAATTCAAGTTCCAAAGTAAGTCTTGTAGTCCTATCTTGTAGTTCTGCATGTAACGATAAGAGGCGTGAGCAAGCGCGAAAAGAACAAACAATTTGCTAATTTTCCAGGAAATTTTATGTGTAGAGCGAATGTAATAATCAGAAATCTGAATTTCGTGATTGCCATCCAACTTCAAGAAAGATGAAAAGTGTCAGAAGCTTTATATCAATCTATTTCCATATCAGCCTGGAGCATATCTTACCGTTTGAACAGTCTATCAATCATTTAGAAATATTTATTATTATGTCTAGTATAGGAAATATTATAAAAGAGAAAATATAAGATCATATGGCAAGCAATAGAAATCATCAGATGCGTGTTTCAGTTCAAACATAAGTCTTTATTGGAGACCCGGATGTTTCGAATTGCTAACCACTGGAAGTTCCGCCATTGCATTGCTTTAAAGTAGAACTGAAAGTAGAGAGTGATGAAAGAAACATTAATCAGTTGTTTCCCACTTTCTTGGTGGCTTTTGTCATGGAAAACGTTTCACCAATTTTCCAGTATAATCCTTTCTCATAGGGCCGTACCGTATAGGGGCAATAAAACGGAGAGTTGATACAAATCTGTAAGAAATACGTCAGAAGAATGTTATCAGGAGAGTTCTGATTGCTCGTCATCTTAATCATTTTTAAATTGGATCACGGTGTAGGTGGTATGGAGACGGAAGCAGAACATTCACGTCATTTTCACTATTTCTAAAGTAAAGCTGTTGCTCTTTCACAGTAGTGTTATCTAAGAAAACCCAATGCGATGCTTTTGTGAAAAAGATGATTAAACATCAGAAAAGAGCAGAATCGTGAATATTCGTGATACGTGTCTCACCTGTAATGTTATGTCTTTTGATCTACGATATATGTCGATACTGAGAAGAAAGTCTTCGTCGAGATTCAGCTGTGGTGATTCCAGAATGTACGTGGTGATGGAATAATTACTCCTATCAGTGCCAACGAACAAAAACCCTTCAAAGGACTATAGTTAATCAAGCGTTCTATGACATGAGTACCTGTCTCCATATTTTCATCACTCTTGATGCCAGTGTGGGGGTTTCCTACCCTATCAGCTCCCAAACTCCATTCCCCTAGTCTGAAAAAGAGAATTAAGAATTGATACTCTTTAAATGATGTTTACTGCAAGGTTTCATTCTTATAATTCTCATAACCACAGAAAGTTCCATCGAATGAACAATTGACCAGTTGACAAACGTTTATCTTACGAACTGCTAAGCCTTCGTTTCTTGGAGAGCCATTGAACGGGGAAACTCCAGGGGGTCCTGAAGAGTATTTCATCAGATACCCTAATCATTAGTTTGCAAATGAAACTGTCGTTGACATTGAGCAAAAGATTAATTTTTTTCTCCGAAAAATCACGGTTAACGTCACCCAGATCATTTTCATTTTTTTGATTCGGACTATCAGGAGCGGTTGCTTTTTCTGCTGTTCTATACACTGAACAGGACTACACTGTTTCGCAAGGGTTTATCACAGGATAAATATAGTTACATGGTTCTATTTAATTAACGATACCTTCGAATGTTGAAGTAGCTCCTTCTTCGTCATCTTTCTTTATTGCCGAACTGGGTGGGCTTACCACATCTACTATAAAAATAGAACTATGACTTGATAAAGAGAGCTAATAATAAACCTGCATCAGGTATAGCGACGTCATTAGTATTTCCAGGGCGAGCTGGAACTACAGCAGCCGAATCTTCAACTGTTTCACCACCCCCAGCTCCTTCTTCTTCAAAAAAGGATTCAACAACATCTTGTGTTGGAAGTAAAGGATTGCTCTGGGAATCCTCTTGTGGTTCCTGGCAAATGTCTGCATCATATGTCAGATTATCGATAACGAAAATTGTTGGTTTGATAATATTAGAGAGCGTTATTTCAATATCAAAAAGAGTAGAGTTAGGGTGTACTACTTGAACTGTTACCAATGAAGAATTATGGTAGAGTATTGACTGAAAAAAAATCGTTTCAACCGATTCAAGAGAAATCTGGATTACTTTAGTACATGACCGAACACTGTAATCTTGTGTACAAACTTGCAAACTTAGATTAGGGTTTCCGACTGTCCAAAATTGGAACGTCAAGTTTCCGTGACCTTTCTGACATGTGATGGGTGTGGAAAGAACAACATTAGTGGAAGACGGTAGACTCTGAAAATGAAACTATTCAGCTCGCATGGAGAATAATCCACTGACATTTCGTTGAACAAACGCCAAGAATGATCCAGATGGGCGATCTTCAGTTGTTCTCTGAGCTAATTGCGAAAATGCAGCATTCAGTTCATCGGTTGGGAAATGAGCAACTTGATAAGAATTAGATGATGATTTAAAGCTGAAAGAAATCAGTTACGCCGTCAAATTTCATCATTTTTACCGGCATGATGTGTTTTCCTCAAAGGTACAAGTAACTGAATTCTCATTCTGCTCTATATTTCGCAAGAATATCATGCAACTCAGCACATCGTTGATTGTTCTCATATTTGTTGTACATGATGGTGGATAAGGCCCTGTAGAATTCAAACTTGTTTTTTTCATGGATTCAAGTGAAATTAATGGGAAAGGCGAACTTCCGTGATTAATTTGAATGTTTTAATTTTCTATTATGCTTACCATCTATGGATAGCTCTTGACCAATTTCTTGAAGCGCAGCATCGTCAAAGGGCGCTCTTGGACCAGTTCCCTAAAGTGAAAAATTGAAAAACGAAGATTTCACTAGAAATCATAACAAAGCCCAAAAGTTTTCTTTTCATATTCAAATTATGTTTACTTAGATTCACCTCTGAACTTTGAATTAATGTACGATGACCGTGTACAGCAAGATTTGAAACATCCTGTTTTTGATCTGGAAGATGAGGAGGTGGAGGCGGAACGTAGCCAGGATAAGGAGTAAACCGTAACGATGATTCTTCTTCTATAAATTAAAGAAAATAATAAGTGATTTCCCAGATAATCAAACCTTGAGACGATTCCATAGAAGCTAGTTCATTATCTATCGAGTTAGCCAGTTGAGGTTGTTGTAACGCAGACAAACTCTGAGAGCTCACGCCAGAAACTTTTGAATTCAATAGTATGTGAATGATCGAGATTCACTTACCCAAACCATTGTTTGATGATGGTAATGACAGAAGAGGTGATGATAGTTGTTGTTGAGGTATCCCCGCTTGAAAAGGTGGTTGACAAGCATCAGCTAAAACACATTTTCCTCTTATTGGGCCGTCCTAAAACCACTCACCTATGGATAACCCCAGTACCAACAGGATAGTATAGCAGAATATTCGTGTATTCATTATCGAAACTAAAAATTTTATTAATAAAAATTTCATTCAATGGTCATCTATATGAAAATCAAAACCGTAAGCAGTCGAGATATCAATTCTCAATAGACGGAAAAACAAAAAAAAACAATGAAAAGCATGGAACTTTCGAAAAAGTTGAGAGGGAAAACTTCTATTGGTAAGTGAAATTAACACAGCTCAGATATGGTGGTGTCTCAGATCAGGAGGTCAGCTATGAAAAAGAAAGGAGGTGAAGGAGATAAGGGGTCCTGTAAGAATAGGGTCAAACGATTGGCTGGCAACAACTGATCCATGCAATCGGGGCACAGAATACATTCAACGGATTACGAAATGAGCCGTGGATAGCGCCAGAGGCAAGGAGAAAATTAGAGACGGTCGAAGTCTTGAATAGAGGGGAAGGATGAAATGGAAAAAATACATTCAGAATATGGAAGTAAAGTGAATAAATGGTTCTGCATAACGAATATGTGGAATGTTTCCTATATTAGTCAAGCAATTCTTGACTCTTAACATACCGTAAAGAGGGAAACAAAACGAAGAAACAAATCCACAAAAAGCAATGAATAACTTGATCGTTGAGTATTTCTGACAATTCTCAGTCTAATGGTTACTATAAAAAGTGTGTTACAATCGACAGAAGCAATTGTTTTCCGAAAGGGAATGTCTTGAACCTCCTGAAGTTGGGAAACTATAAATACATATGGATGGTTTGCGATTGGGAGGTGAGGGAAGAAAATTAGAAAGATTATCCTATACTAACCCTAGAGTGTCTGACCGCTTTCGTTCTGGGCATGGATTACAGTTTAAACTCTATTCATTGGGTATGAAACGAAGTTGGGAGCTAAATATGACGAAAAAGGACAACTCTCGGTAGAATATTAGAACTGTTCTTTCTTGACTATCATAATCGTTCTACAATATTTCGTTCGTACAGGCGTTTTCACCAGCTTCCGTCTCGAGTCTTATATTATCGACAGCAAGAAAAAGATTCTTCCCAACATTTTCAGCAATGAAATAAACCTGTTAAAGAATAGCTTTGCAATAAAAATTTGAATAATCAATACTTTTTTTGTTCCGGGGCTCATGAACACTTTCTGATCAGTATGCCAGAATACCTGCGCCTTAACATCCGGAGATTCATATGGGCAGTAATCGAACGAATCCAGACAAACCTCCAAATGGAAATCAATATTACTTCAGATTTCTATACAATAGCTCACTTTTAATCTTGGACCTTTTGATCTAGTGTAGTAATCAAAAACAATGTTTAAGTTTTTGTTTAATATGAACTTGGGAGATTCCATAACGTACATATCGTCTTTATGATTTACGCCATCCTCTCCAACATAAGCGAATCCAACTTAAAAATAAGAATCTTCATTATTATTATTCTTCATCTGGAAAGCAGTCTGTTTTATTATGAATAATACCTTCTTGGGCATCTTTGAGATTAATCCTTTGGATACCAGTATGTCTATTTCCGATTAGTTGACCTCCTACTACCCAAGGTCCTCTTAAATTTTAAAAATCGCACTCGAACAGACGGCTGAAAAGAACATACGTGCTCCCAATGCCACTCAATCCATAAAAACATGAATGAAAATTGTTGAAGTTGCAACTGAGGGATTCACAGACTGTTAGCTGATCTACAGGAGAAGGTGTCTGCAATTATTTTGTTTTTCAATTTTTTTTCAAGCTCTGCAATAGCTCATTGCAATTTCTCACTGTTTGTTCGACATCTCGCTGAACTTGAAGAGGTGTAGTCTGTGACACTGCCTCCAAACTTGGTTCAATAACGGTTGGAGGATCCTCCGTAAAACTAACAAGTCCTTCTGCAGCAGCAGGAGTTGGAACTGTTTGTTGCTGTTGATAGTAATAAGGATATGGAGAGACTTGTTGAACTGAATTATATGGAAAAAGAGAATCCAAAAAGAAATTTTCGGATGCTTCGTCATGATTAGTGGTAGTTTCGATTTCCTTTTCAATTGGAGATGGAGAAATCATTTCGCTTTCATCATCAACCTAATATATAATTTTCAATTTAGTTTAAAAAAAACTTTTTTTTTTGAAATACCAATTGGCAGATACGTCCTTCATAGTACAAGTTATCAAGTAGTAATATTGATTCCGATTTAATGTTCATAACTTCTATTCGCATCTTGAAAGGTTCCATTGATTGAGGTATTGATATATTAATTGGATTTGGAGACGGGCCAATATCCTATAACAATAACAAAAATAGTAACAAACATTAAAATAGTTAATAGTTTACTCTGCAATCCATATTGGTCTCTTCATCATTTCGTATAATGCAATATCTCAGATAGGGTTCATCTGAGTTTGTCCAAAAGCTGAATATGTAGTTTGATTCATAATGAATATTGCTAGCTTTTAATAACGTACTCAAATCTCACAAATGCAATATCATATTGACAAGGTATAACTGATTCCAGAGCAACTTTCTGCGGTGTCAGCACAGGTTCTCCTCCAGCGACCAAAAATGAGTCATCTGGAATAGAACAATTATTCAATGTTTTTCATATTAAAGCAGCCGCTCATCTGCGCAATTATAGTTAAAATAAATTCCACGTGATTCACGTGATTGAGAGCGCGCATCTTATTTCTATTTCAAATTTTTATGAACCGGTTGTGCTTTATTTTTTTTTCTCATTAGCTACTCTTGATGTTGTATTGATTCTAGAAAGAAAAAACAAAATATTATTACCAAAGTTGAAGCTTCTGATTGTTGTGCAGTCAAATCTATCTTTGTCAAAAGGCATGTCATATTTTCCTCTCCAAAACCTTGAAGGTAGTTAAGTATGAATACATGTAGCTATTATAGATTTTCTTCAATACCTCAACAGATTTGGTTCGGAAGGCACGTTATACCAACTGCAGAACTCTTGACTGTCATCAAAAGAGCAAGTAAGTCTTCCACCTTCTTCCACTCTTAACGGGGGATCATCTCCGAATATGGATAGCGATGCAGTTGATCGTAATTCTAAAACAATCAAAAACTTTCTCTTTCTACTTAAAACAAATATAAGCCAAACCTGATGCTGTAAATGGTACGTAGTTAACTCCATTACACGATTTTATTTTGTTGCGCGTTTCAAATTCCTCATAATCGCTCATAGTAGGCATAGATGGATCTTGGCTTTCTTGAATATCTTGAGGAACAGCCGTTCGAGCCGCATATGCTCTAGGCCGACCTCCATAATAGCTGGAGTGATAACAGCTAACAGCAAGTTCTAATATATAATGTGTGAGAATAATTTAATTATGTAAATATAAAATTACCTGAAGCAATTAGAAGATAGCAAAAGACAATCGCATTAGATGAACTCATGAGATCAGCAAAATGATCATTACATTAAGTTTCTAATAGATTAGCTTAATGTTTATTCTTATGCAACTTAAAAATAAAGGTGTGCAATCTTCCGGAAAAGTAGAATATGAGTACAAGAGAAAGTAGCACTATAATAGTTATCCTCATATGGAGTTGACCCTTCTTTTCACAAAAGTTACAGCTAATATGGGTCAGCTGTCTATGTTACTCAAGGTTGTTTTCTCAATATTCGAGAAAATGAGTAAGCTAGAACATTTTCTATTTCTTCATGTTATATGACACAGTTCTCGAGTTAATTACCTTACGTCCGAGACTTTAACATTATATTCCTTTGAATATGAGATTTAAATACATTTCTTATACCACATTTGAAATTTCATATTGTATAGAGTATGAATTGAGGTTAAAAGAAAATGAGAAGATGAAAAATAATGAGAAATTGTATATATGTTTTTCTATTATATTTTGCATTTAATCCTTCTCTTCTTTCACTTAGAAATCAATTACCAGATATGTTTTTGATTATGAACGCAGATCAAACAAACAAATCTGTGGCAGCGAGAGGGGGTTCGCCATAACAGTTAGTAGATCTTTCGCACCTTCTGAACTTTGAAGAAAACACACACTCACGCACATATACATCTCAATTCATTTTCTTGTTATCCTTCTCCCTCCTACTCATTCATCAATATTTGTTTACATATTGTTTATGCACTTAAGATGTTCTTTCATGTTGTTATGTACCAAACAACTTTTTTTTTTCGCATTTTTTTGTACGGCCAATTAGGCGCGAACCATTTTTCTGTGAGAGTTATCATAGCTCTTATCAGTTGTATTGACGAAATCGAATGTTTTAATAGATTTTGCTGAATGCTCGAATGATTTGCTGATATTGAATTTTCTTCCTCCTCAATGAGTGAGGCTAATAGATGTCTGAATCGAATTGAAGAACTTTCAAGCAATGACGAGGAGAATAGGGAAGAAGAATATCCTCTAGAAAATGAACAAGTACGTTAACAATTCATTTTCCTCCTCTTCTTTTTTTTTTAATTTGGTAACAAGCACATCATCATCTAATAGGACAAAATTGAATTCACTGATATCCAATCAGTTTCCTTTTTGTTTTTTTGTTCATGTTGTTTTTCAATTCAAAAAATATTACAGCGTAAAAGCGATCGATACAGTTCTTCTAACCATTCCGAAGTTGGCTCATCCATACCAACAGGTTCTCTGGACAACCATGGCAATGTGCAGTCATCGATGGTTCATTTTTATTTCATTTAAAAAATATATTATTTATTATTATTTTTTTGTTGCAATCTATCTAATTTCAGAGAAAAAAATTTGTTGAGTGATTCAATTTGATATGCTTACAGAATGCTGGAAACGTTTTCACGAGCTTTCACTCATTTTCTCGATTCAACGAAGATGGAGATGCCGATAGGTAATGTCTACGAGTTGTCCTTGTAATGTTATTGTTTTTTCTTTTTTTTGCCTTTACAGAGAAGATGACTTGAATGGCAATTCGTCTCCTGAATCAGCGATGAAAATTGAAAGTTCTACCTCTAGTGCTACTTCAACTACCAAATCTTTCGCTCAACCTCTTCCAGATTTTTCTCGTCTCGGATCGGTTTGTTTATCAATTTCTTTTATTTTAATCTCCTTTCGTGTTCTTTCGGCGAATCAGCAGTATTTTTAAAGTAGATAGTAAAGAAAAGAGGGGGTGAGAAGATAATCGCGTGAATAAGATGAGAAAAAGAGGGAGAAATAAAGTCGGATGTTTAACAGCTTCATCATTGAGCCCTTAAGGCTGCTGATGCTCCGTCAGTCGGATTTCGTCGTCGAAGCGCTCCAGTGACAAGGGATATGCGCCCCGATCCAGTTATGGTCAAGATGCTCAAGAAAATTCGAGATATTCGAGATGACAGTTCGTCTGATGTTTCTGATTCTTCAAGTCCTTCGGACATGAATAGAACTATGTAATTAATTTGTTCAACGTGTATTACCATAAGATGTTCTACGTGTTAAGTTTGGCTCGGAAGCCAATTCTATATTACTCTATGCGTTTGTTGTTCATATATTCCAAATGTTTTGAAATTGTTGTTGATTCGAATATTGCTCTAAGCTGCTCATTTCATTAATATGCGTGAAGTTGTAATCCGAATTCAGAGGTAACTTGTTGACTTTTGTAGAAAATTTGCATATCTATATAAAGCTGTCACATACTGTCCTTATCGAATTTGCTAGATTTTTGTGTCATAATGAAGAGAAGTTGCATAGCCTTAGGGTATGGGTGGAGCCATATACCCATAATAGGCAGAGCCTCAGGCACAACACATCATCAGTGGGGCAGAAGCAGCTGCTTCTTGACAATCAGCTTCTGAAGGAAGAGTTGTGTGAGGATAAGGAGTTGAGAAATCTCACGTGTTTACTCTATTGTTCTTTTACATTCATTATTTTTAACGAATATTGATATGAGAGAGTTCTGTTGCACGTTGAGCAAGACAGAAGTTGTACAACAAAAAAAAAACATCCGCATCTTAAGATTTTGATTTTGCTTCAGAATAATACTGAGTTAGTTTTTCTGTTCCTCTCATCACGTATTTCATCTTTGACATCCTCGTTTTTTCTCTTCGTCTTGTTGTCTCTCTCTCTCTCTCTTTCTCTCTCTCTTACTCTTCAAACGTCGAGTCTTCCCTAAGGTTTTCCTTCTCTCTCGCATCCTTATCTAATTTTTCTACTTTTCATGTGCTCTTATTTTCTTAAGGCTCAGATATCGCTTTGTCTTAAGCAATCCTTCTTTCTTTTTTTTTATTACACTGTTTTTGTTGCTAATGCCGTCAAATATGGCTTCCATCGCCTGCTTTTTTCGATTTTTAATTTATCATTCGAATATTTTTGTCAGTTTTTTTTTCTGCACAAAGTACAAAGGACAGATCATTTGTGCTCTTATTATTCGCAGAAAGTTTTTGAAAGTTGGACTTACCAAGTTGGACGATAGAAGTAGTCTGAAATGTAAAGATAAAAAGGGAAAATTGAGTTTTCCATGCAAGACTGGAGTAATCATGGAAACAATTAATTTATTGGCCAATCCAAGATATATCCTTAAGCGTTCGTGAGCTCTATCAGTCCACTGTGTGTGTCGTCTCTCTCAATTCATCATCCGTTTGTCTCAATTTTCAATTGAACTGCTAACTCTTATACTACAAATTCCTTCCTCTTCAGCACAGACTCATCTTTTTTTGCCTTTTTTTTTCTCATGTTGGAGATAATGCTAAAGACATCTTCTTATTGACAGTCATAGCAATGATATTAGGGAAAAGTTAATATTCGTGCTCTTCGTGCTTAAACTTGTTTTGTTGAGTTTCTTCTGTTTTTCTAATTTAATATCCTTTTTCAGCTGAAATCCGGGCACATCATTGCATATCTGCTTCATATCTCCAAATAAGGCAACCTTTTTCACTTGGGGACACATCTTAGAACATCTCCAAACATATTGTTGCATTCTGTGGATACTAGGGCCACAAGTTTGGCGGACACAACCACGTCTACATGGCGACGAGCGAATGTGTGGCCGTCAATCTCATTCTTCAAATGTACGGTGATTGGACAGAACTACTGGAAGTTCGTGTAAGTGTTTACATTCACCTTATCTGAGTAACAACCTTCTAAGAATCATCTTTTGATTTCTTGTAGTTCAATTGATCTATTTTCGTTATTGTTCCTCATTTCTTTTACGAGAAAAAACAAAGAGCACGTTCCGCCGTTTTTGTCGCTCCATCATCAATTTGAATCGGCTTCCTGCTTCTCAGGCTTTTTTTCTTATTTTGAGCTTTTCTAAAGATTGTTGTTGATGGGATTGAATCAGGAGAACGAATCTGTATATGGGAATGTTTGAATGGCAAATCATCGAAACGTTCACAAAAACTTCTGTCTCTTCGACAAGCTCATGCTCATCCATCATTTCATTTTATATTTCATTGGGTCTTCAGAGATTCATAAACTTACTCAATTTGCTCACTTAAACACTCTGAGCTTGTTGAAGAGTAATCTTCTGTTGCTCATTTTTATTTTCTAATCACGTTTGAGCCAAACATGGCAGTTTGTTGGCACAAACCATAAAAATAAATAGTTTCTCAGCCAACATACACACACACATGCACATGCGTAGATACATTCACACAAGGAAGAACTAAAACGATCGTCTTTTCAGATTATTTATTCCTGCATCTACACACTCATATTTGTGTGTGGAGTAATTGGTAATGGTCTACTAATCAGCAGTATCATACTTCGTAAACGACTAACGGTCGCCAATGTGTTTTTAACAAATTTAGCTGTTTCGGATCTTGTTAGTTTATTTTTTTGTTTTTTTTTTTTTATTTTTTTATTTACCAACTTCATTATACATATTGTCTTTCTCATTATTGCTTCCTCTTTCGAATGATTAGTATCATTCAACTATAATGTTAATGTGCGGAGGAAAGCTTTATATGAGTTAGGTGAAACCTATAAACTTGCTCTAAATGATTTTGGCGGCTCTTCATCCACTTGTGTCCTAATGTGTTATGGATTTGCTCATGTATTCAGACTTTGTCCCAAGAGGCATCTTATCTAGTTCCACTTACCCGCTTATACCCATATTTCGTGTTTACCCAAACGAAAATATGAACGAAGGGGGGTATGATTCCACCGAGCAATAGCTATTCATAAAAATCTATGAAAAGCTTGAGAGACAGAGAAGGATAGTATATAAGGTAGTGCAGTAGATACTTACAAAAGCTTTAAAAGCCGAAAAAAAAGTATTAAAATTGACAGCTGACAACGAACGTGGGGGAGGAACTCATAAATTCAACCGCTCTTAACATATCCGCATCGAGAAATGAGTTTACGCATCACGTGAAATATCACGTTCCGTCGGATCTAAATTTATATTTTCCATATTTAGACATGTTTACTCTACACCAATATCATTATATTCAAATATCAATATACCAATATATCTCAAACCAAACATCAAATAATGAAAAGTTCAACTTCCATTTTTCAGATCTTATGCATAACATCGGTTCCAATCACACCTGCTCTAGCATTTATGAAAAGATGGACTTTTGGAATACTGTTGTGTAGAGTTGTTCCAGCAAGCCAAGCTCTTTCCGGTATGTTTTTTCTTTAAATTCTCTCTTCGACTAAATGTTTTTAGTTTTAATTTCGTCTTGGTCTTTGTGTTTTATTGCTGTAGACAGGTATAGAAGTATTGTAACCCCGTTACAGGAACCATGGAATTTGAAACGAGCACGAGTATGTCATGTTTGTTCTGGATAAATCATTACAAGCCTTTTACAGACAATATTAGCTGCCGTTTGGGGTTTAGCTAGTGTTGCTACATATCCATTATTTCAAGCCCAGTCACTAAAAACTCTCACAATGGGGATGGGAACAGAGAATATAACTTTATGTGGAGAGGTAGTGACAAACACTCTTAACCTTACTAATCATCTTTCATTCAAGTTCTGTGGAGAGTTTAATTGGGAAGAATACGAAGGAAGCATGAAAGTTATGTATGGAATTGCTCTCTTACTTCTACAACTTTTAATTCCTTCCATAATTATGTCATTCTGCTATTGGAAAATTTTGCAAAAGGTAAAATCCTTCCTTCTGTTTCAAAGATCTTTGAAAAATCTGGAAAACTTAATTTAACTGTCAGTAACAAGATTCATCAGATTCATATTTTAGAATTAGAATCTTCAACGATCTCGCCATCTCTTCGTTTTAGCAAAAATCAAAAAAGGGAAAGAGCACGGGAAATAAGATTGAATTAGTGAGCGAGTAGGATGGAAAGACAGAGTGAAATTAGGAGACTGAACAAGACAACGATATTATACGATGTAACAAAGTGAAAGAGAACAAATGAGTAATGGTAGGAGACAAGCTTTTTGAGTGAAGACGTTGAGCTTGTTTTACTGCTCCACTAGACGTTGATAATGTTTGGCAGTTGCTGATGCTGTTTCATCGACTGCGGTCTTATATGAATCTCCGTGAAGTGTGCAGTCAAATCAGATCAGAGAGAAAAAGATGAAAGCAAGATCTTACGGGAAGAGAAAGACGACCTTCTTCAATCCAATGAGATTCGATATGCAAGCAGCTGATACATTTCCATGGATTGTGAACAAAAGAAGGAAAAAGTTGACATGGAAATAATTTTAAGAATAGGGAAGATAAATTTCTCTAGTAAGAGCCGAATTCAAGGAATTGAGATGAGAAGATAAGAATGAGTAATCAACCGCTCAATGCAATCTTGTAAACAAAATGAACTTCACGTTCAACAATTTCAGGGGGTGTACGCAATATATGCTAATTACAGGTACGAGCTGATTGGATTGTTGAAGAAGGCAGTATGCTAACTGCTGCACAACAAGCACAAACGTCAGTTCGAAAACGAAGAGTCATGTAAGCTTCAAGTTTTATTTTATAACTATATTTATGTTCCTATAGGTATGTCCTAATTCTGATGGTTGTAGTTTTCATGGCATGTTGGCTGCCTCTTTCAGCTGTTAACCTCATCAAAGACTTAGGAATTCCAGTTGTAAGCTAAAACTCAGAACGCTGAGATGAATCTTGATAAACTGATTCAGATATTGGAACAAATGTATTTTAAACTTTTAAATGCACATGTAATTGCAATGACCTCCATCTTGTGGAACCCTCTTTTGTACTTCTGGATGAGCAAAGTTCTTAACGTGTAAACTACTACCTAAATGAACCTTTTCGTTTTCAGCGACATCGTAGAGCTTTGAAAGATGATATGACATGGTTAACTAATGCTCGTCGTCATACAAATGTTGGTGTTCTTTCTCGATTTGCTCCATCACCATCTGTGTCTGTTATTTATCGTCGAACTCTCGAAAGGCATTTAGGTGTTAATAATTTCCGGTAAGTCCATGACGTAATGTCCTCACAACCGTGAACTTCTAAAAATTAAATGTATGAGGAAAGTATGGGAATGTGATCAGCTTCAATATGGAGTCAGTCTTTTGAGTATTTACTGCTATCTGCCCATCTTATTCTGAATTAAATTTTTATTGAAAATATCAACGAGAGCTTTTTTTCTTTTTGAAAACGACTGATCCGTTTCTTCACTGAGCCGTTTTCTCGGCTCACAAAGTTGAAAACACTCTGTTTGCTTTTTTTGTTCAGAGTTCATTTGATATAGGAATAGATGGCAGCAAGCACAAACTACTTTATCTTGAAACTTGTGATTGTTGTCCATTGTCTATCGGGTTGTTCATGCATAAGATACTTTAATGAAAGCTTCATTCCGTAAAACATTTAATGTTCTATGGTATTTCAAAGTATGTGTGATGTTCGTAGAGACAGGAAGAGAAATATCACAAAGATTTGGTAAAAGTATAACATCAAACCATTTAAGACGTGGTACGTTGGCCGATCCAACTTGTATGTCACGAGAACGAGCACCTGATCTCCATTCGAACTGCTTCTTGTTGGTGCCATTAATGCCTTTATGTCAAAATGTTTCTCGAAAAAACAGTCATCTCTCCATTGATCCGGAAAGTCATAGGTATTTTAATAATAATGGACAAAATTATTGTATACAATTGATACTTTAGAAGACTGGTTTTAACTCCAAGTCGTCGACCCAGCAGTACAAATACCAATACAACACGAGATTGGTGAGGTGGAAAAGCTGCAACTGAAATATCTTTTCTATTGCTAGTCTGCATTGTTTCTGTTTTTTAATAGACTTCCATATCAATATCATCAATAAATTTATTTTTTTTTCGTCATATCAACTAGCATAGATGTCTTTCAAACTTTTTTTTTTTTTGGTTAAAATCCAGTTGCTTCTTGTTATGAAAATAAGAACCTCGTGCTTACACCCATAGCACAGCCTTAAGTGGCAATGAGTTGAGTACTCTAAAAAACATGTTGACCATAATCTATCTTAAATTATGCACAGAATAACTGGGAAAAACTGATGATAAATCCAGTTAAGTGACTTTCTTTGACGAATTGTAGCATTTGTCCTTGCGTTCTCTGACCACCTGAATGCGACCAAACGGCCAAATTCTCGCAGACATGACGTTTAAACTGGAAAATCAGCCATGACTTCGTGTCTTGAACTGATATAAAGTTTCGGTTCTGATGGAAATGACCATCACTTCGTCTAGATCATGTCTTTGTTGTTCGCTTTTTGATTCTATCAAACGTATTGTTCTATGTTTAAGAAAAGAATTATTATCACGGTATTCGTTGTTGAAATCATATATATGAAAGCTTATTCTGTTTTAAATAGTTACGTTCTCGTTTTGTATTAGTTGACAACGTCGTTACGCATTGGAGTGTAGATGGAACATCTGAACTTGATAAATAAAGCTTTGCCAATAAGGAGACGAGGTGGAAAAATAGAATTTTTCCTCAAAAGTCATCTGATTCAGAAAAAAAGAAATTAAATTTCATTTGTTTATAGTGCAGCGTATGTGCCATTGTGCGAATGAGAAAGGTTGTGTAAAAAATGATGATTTCCTCAAGTGCCAATAATACGACCTTGGTCATTCGTGAAATTTGACAAAAAATCGTAGAACTTCCATATATAAAACGTGGTGAAGCCTACCATTTCTGAAACTGTTAACACCCATCGCTCTTTATGTGTTTTGTAACAGTGAAACAATACTAAAAGTGTGTTTTCAGAAAAATGCTTCCAATCTTCATCCTTCTCTTAGCCTCTTCCCTTCTTATCCATGATGCCACTGCTCAATATTATCCTTATGGAATGGGCGGATATGGTGGTTATGGTGGCTATGGTGGAATGCCTTATGGAATGTACGGTGGATATGGTGGCATGCCTTACGGTGGATACGGAGGATATGGTGGATATGGTGGATATGGAGGCAGTTAGTCGTTTTTTTCATCGACTTCTAATTGACTAATCGTTTGTAGGCCCCATTTCCGGAGCCTTACGAGGAGCAGTCGCAGGAGCTATGATGGGTGCAATGATGGGCAAGAAATAAGCCGAATCGTTGGGACTACTTTTATAATTAATAATTGCTCATTGTACAAAGACAATCTTTCATCAGGATGTATCTTTATCTTAATAAAAATTCTAAAATACACGGTTCATAATAAATCAATGGAATAGGGAAGACAATGAACGACCGCTAAGTTGAACGGAAAACTCAAAATGAACTGACGTCATTTTTAATTTTACAAGTGTAACGAGCGGTTGCTTTTCAATTTCTGTTTTTCATTTGTGTTTTTTCAGGGATTTTTCTGATTAAACTAAGAAGAGAAATCAAATGTTTCTAAGAAATTAAAGCGAATTTCACTTTAAATGGTAGACAGCAGCATCTCTCAAGTACAAACACCAACGCGATATTGCGTACATCTTTTCGAAAATTCAAATTGTTGAGCTTTCTTCCTTCGCACACAAAGTAGATAGACCTTTCTTCATTCCTCTTTCTGTTTGCAGCTTTTAAAAAAATGAATAATCTAGTAGCGTATGATGGAGAAAGTGATGAAGACTCTCCAATACATTCCAGTGAAGCTGAAGGTTTGTCGATAGTTATGAAATTCTGGCTAAACCTATCCTCTTTCAGTTCCAATTAACCCTCTTTTGAAGAAAAAAAGCGCTTCTCCACGAGAAAGAAAAAACTCTGATTTTTATGATGGTTGTTTAACTATTATTTCGTTTAGTAACCAAGGGCGTCGTTTAAGACTCTGAGGCTTTTGCTGATTATACATCCAGAAAATCTACATCACCACGCTCCGACAGAAGTTATACCATGGACTTCTTAGAACCTCCTCCTCCAAAAAGGCCAAAAGACACACCTTCTCCCTCGGATGTTAATGTAGGAATGGCCAGGGTTTGTATACTCATTAATTTGTGCGTTGCAAGAATTGCTTTAGATATCTTCAACTGCTTCATTAGTTTCTTACGAGTTTGAAGATGGGTTCGACCAAGGTATTTGCTTTGGGCTTCATAATCCAGAATTTATTTTATTCTTCAAGCTGAACGAGAAGGAGCAGATATTGATAAAGAGCAAGTCAGTCCTCTTTCAACTGAAATGGTGGAACCACGACCTCCTGAAAGACAAAGCCAAGTAATATCTTATTGAGTGTACGTATCTTATCACTGTTTTGCAGGACTGTGAGAGTGATGAAGACAATGAGAGGATTATTGACGAAGCTTTGGAGAATGCCCAATCAGCCCTAAAAGAGGTTGGCTTTTGGCACATTAGTATTTTGTGGCTTACTAGCTCATTGTAGAGACAGGGCGGGTCAGAAGGTAGTCTAACTCCCGGGAACGACCAGGATAGTCCCAGAACACCAGATGTGGAGGACAAAGTAAGTTTACACTTTTATTTGATGCTTTGATGTATTTTATAGGATGAGGATGCAATTAGGAATAACATAGCTATACCTCCATCGCCTGAAGGTGATTGTGATCCCTTACTTGAGGTTTGTAATATTTGTTCATATTAATTATCGTTCTGTTTTTAGGAGAAGCTAGCGATGTTTTTCCGAAAAAAAGCTCAAGGAATAAGTTTGAATGAGCAACTGCAAGGCAAAAGGCAGTTTCTTAATCCATCATGCTACGAAAGTTTTATTGAAAGTTTTGATCTTGACGAGAAAGGTTTGCTAGCTTCTATATTCAGTGTCTTACGTTTTCAATTAGGTTCGAACTTTCCTGCACACATTTTTGATCCTCATGGATTTCCTGAAGATTGTTTCTACGAGAAGCTAAGTATGAAGAATTTGTTAGCACGTTGGGAAACAAGTAATATCATATTTAGATGAAGAACAGAGGAAGTTAACTGAAGCTAAGGATAGAGAAGCGCTAAAGAAATCAGGCGGACATACTGTTCCTGTCGCTCGCAAACCTTAATATATTGAGATGACGAAACTATCTCGTTGTGTTCTTAAGGAGAAGTAAGCGCAATTGTTTGAACTGTTTCCAGAAATTAAGTGGTCTCATCGTTTTTCAATTAAATATCAATTAACTTCGAACAGTTTGAGTGATTCCGTCCGTTTTTCCGGCGTTTATTTTTCTTTCATTTCTGTTTTTCATAGTTTTACTGTTCTCGTTTAGTATGGTTGTTCAAAAGTTATTAAATCCCACCGTATTTCACAAATCGTCTTCGAGGTTTCGTTAGAGTACACTCCTTATCGTTGAATCTGTAATGACTCAGATGCCTCAACACGATTTCGAGCTTTCCAACTTTCAAATACGTTGACCAGCTTTCTGGGTACTTAGCTAAGAATTTCATTCTGCATGAGCCAGGTGAGAATAGTTTCAAGAGTTCTAGTTATAGCGATAGTAGGAAAGTTTGTTATAATTCCAAAACCGTACGGGATTTCCTGTGTTGGAGAGATGCAGCCTTCCGGAGGAGTTTTCAAATCTGGGAGGTTCGATGAAAAGGATGAAAATTTCAAGATGTCAAAGGTTGCTAAGCAGTACAGCTTGATGATATGTTTCAGTTACAGAGGAAAAGTGAAAAGGATATTTCAATTACGGATTGTCTACCGAACCTGCAGCATTACTTCAGAGAACCTAGATTGGAATTTTGTGTCGGGCTTAAAAGGCTTGTATTCTACAGGGTCCTTTGATATCTTTGTTCCCTTCAGGTATCTCTCTGGTGCTATCGTTCTACCGTGTAACGAAAAGGAATCTAGTCGGCTAGTAAACAGTGTTAAGTTCGCCTCTCTTCAGAGGTCTGAAGACGACACACATTATAGAGTTATGTAAGTGTCATTTTCCCGTTTTGCACTTTAGTATCTTACCTCCGGTTACAGAGCGGTACTAATGGGGAATCTCGGAAAAAATGAGGGATCAGTTAGTGGCTACTCTACGTTCTTGCCAATGGGGTCGCATAAGGAAGTAGCCTCTTTTCTCATTATTGTTCGTGACCATACTTTCTTTAGTACACCTTTATTGAGGGAAAGGCTAGTAAACGAGCTAAGTCTGGGAAGTTTGCCGTCGAAGGCTCTTTGTCCTACAAGGTTTTAAGTAGAAAGTACGGCTGCACTTTGGTAGAATTCGGAGTTAACAAATGTAGGAGGGTAACCATTTGGGGAATGCTAGTGGCTATTTCAGTTTCGCGACACCTCCCTCGCCTCATTTTCTCACATTTGCAATGCCCCATACTGGGTGATAAGCTGTATGCAAGTCGGTTGGCTGACATTGATGGCAAACCCGTGAATGTGAATCGTTCCAAACAAAATAGGAATATCAAACTAGTTAGTTTTCCTGTTTCATATCGCTATATAGAATTATATCTGTTATCTACAGTGGTGTCCTGCTGCTCTGAGCCAGAAACTAGAGATGAACCCTGATTTGCTGCGGCAATCAATCCCTCTGTATTGCCATGTTTACAGTACAGTAAGAAGCTAAGTAATTTATGATGGTGACATAACCTATTAAGGTATTCCCGAGGTATGGTTGGGTGCCAGGGTTATCGAAGGATCAACAAGATGTCACGGACTTAGTAGCTTCTGTTCCACCGCCAGGTGTGAGAAAATCGTTTGTAAGTATTCATTTCAAGTTTTATAGATCATTTTCTGTCGATGGTGCGATCACTTGACATGGAGACAGACTTGATGAAGTTCTTCCGAGAAAATGAGGATCTGGCCAGTCCTGAAGTTGGAAGAGATCTATCTTTCTGAAAATGAGATGGAGGAAGAACTCTTCAAAGGCGGAGAAATTAATTAAAATGTTTATTGTGATCAGGCGGTCTAAAAAACTATCTTGTTTCTGTGAATTCTGGACGACGGGTGAGCCATCTTCAAAGGACATGTGGTGGCAAAAGATAATTTAGTGAGCACATTTAAAGGGTTCTGAATGGAAACCAGATGTTTCTGACACATGGACCACCCTGTCAAATGTTTTTGTAGAAGACTTGAGGGTCCTGACAAGGACGTTTAAAGTTTTAAGCGCTACCGTAATCGAAGTGTTTTTTACACAGCTACAGTATGACCATCAGACCGTCCTCTATAGTCATTTGTCAGTTATTAGCCCTTGTTTTCTTTGTACCGAGTTGTCCTCACTTATGATTAGATTGTTGCTTTCCATTGTTGATTGAATATGCTTTTGATAATGATCTTTGTCAATCAAAAATTTCTCTTCTCTCTCTATAATAACTTCTTTGTCTTCGACTATCTCTTATCCCGTTTGCATCTTTCTTAGGCTCGTGAGCCAGAAGGACTTCATGAGCCCGCCCACGAAGGTGAACCGCCCTTCTGACGACGAGTAGGTCAGTAGAGAATCGTCCCTCCCTCAACTTACACTATTGATAGCTTATTGTATCCAATACTCTAGTTTTTAAATCGTTCAATCGCATCTCTCGCTCAAAATGATCGCTAAGACTCTCATGGTATCCTTTCTTGTTGTAGCAGTTTCTGCAGATAAAGGTGAACATATATGATATATAAATAAATTTTTTTTCAAATATTCTGTTAAACAGTTGAAAATTCTTATGAATTTATCTGATAAAGCTTTATGAAATTCTTATTTAATTCAGATCTTCAAACAGTAGCTGAAAAATGCTGTGCTGCCGAGCATCGCGATTGCTGCATCGATTCCATGCAGTTCTTGTAAGTTTCTTTATAATATTTGCATGCCATCTTATATGTTAATCGTTTTTTTCTGAACAAACATAGTATCCCCTTCTTAACCTTCCGTATTTGCATCCGAATTGAAACGTTTCTGATTCCGCATCCCAATCATTACGTTATTGATTCTGCATCTCACCGATCATTGTGGCTCCGATTTCGCATCCTAATCGGAGCTGCTATGGTTATGCATCCCATTTTCCTAAAATATTGCACGTCTAACACCAGAGAATCATGCATGTGATTCCCTATCTCATAATTTGCTGATTTACAGCAAACCTTTATCATGTGTTCCTAATCACGATGAAAAACTGGAAATGGTCAAATGCATGCAAGAAGAACTCTTCGGAGAGCCCACCCTCGTTAGTCTAGTTGTCCAAGGTTAGCTTTTTTTTCTTTTGCCAGGTATCGGTTTTTTGCTTGTCATGTTCTGCTTCTTATTTTTGCATGCTTAACTCATGTGGTCACTTTCAAATCTCACTTTTTGTAATTGCAAGTTCACATACAATCACTTCGAACGTTTGACCATTGCTTGTAATGCATGTCTGTCTATTGCATGGACTGAACCCCTTGTCTATTCAGATTTTGGCTGCTGTTCGGTGTTTGACACGAATGACAACGACCCAGAGAGCAACTGCCTTTACCATTGCGAGAACACCGTAATGATCCCTTCTCTTCATCCACGCGAGAAAATCCGTAGAATCAGAAAATGCATGATGACTAACTTCAAGAACACCGTCTACAAGGTTCGTTCTTTGTATCCAGCCTTTTCATTGGATACAAATTTCCGCTAATGAATAAATAGTTCATGTTCACAATTTTACAGTGCTTCGTCAAGTGCCAGGCCTCTAGACGCGTACGATCACATGAAAGATTCCAGCTGGAACGACACTGCAACATGACAGATTTCATGAGAGCTAACCAATTTTACTATGGTGCAGCCGTTCTTAGTCCTTAAACAGACATAGAACTCGACCATCACTTACTCACATTACCTTGAACTCGTCAAACAACGCTTTTTACTTTGCTACCAACCGAATGCTTACAAGCTTTTTATTTTCATTTATCCCAATGGTGTTACTTACAATGCTTTTTATGTTCATTTATCCCAATGGTGTTACTTACAATGCTTTTTATGCTCATCTATCCGAATGCTTCCATTACCTACTTGCTTTTTAGAAATTCATTGTCCGTTTGCTTGAATTTTCGTCTCTAATTATTGCTTGAAAGTATGCGACTTTAAAGTTTCCGACTCCGTGCCGAAATGTTTCCGACCTGAGTACCCACATTTGGTCATCTAACAGATGGCAAACTTCCTCTTCTCTTCTTTTAAAAACCGCACATCTTCGAAAAACAACTCATTATGTCGCTATTCTTTTTGATGTTAGGTAACCTCTCCTACTGCAGGTAATCTAATCACATCGATCTAAAAGCTTTCTTTGAATGTTGTTCTCTCTTAACCTTCTCATTCTCTCTTAAACTCCTCTTTCTCTCTCATCTCAACCTTCCTTTTCCAACGCAACCTTTTCTTTCTCTTTCAACCTTTCCTCTTTCTTTCTATCCTTTTTTTCTCTCCAATTTTGTTTTCGGAGCTGAATCGACCACCTTGTCGAAACTATTAATCTTCATACTTTTAAGCTTCCCTTAATCCATTTTCATTTGTTACTCACTGTTTCAGAACCACCTACAGTTTCAAAAATTCATGCTAACAGGACTTTAATTTCCCAACAAAACAGTGCATTGAAAAAACAAAAGCTTTTTCTATCATTGCTATATGCTCAAATAAAGATTATTATGTGCTTATTCTGTGTTGTTCTGCTCACAATATGCCTTATATGGCCATCCTCTTGCGTCAGTCTTTCTGTCTGATGTCTGTTCAATCTACTCATCATCACATAGTCCATCATGTGTATGTCTGTTTTCTAAGGTGTTAACTCATGATTTCGTCTGGGTCAACGTTGATTCACGTCATCCGATATTTTTTTTCATTGTTTAATATTTAACCATAAGCTCAAAGGTCAAAAAAGTATGTGTAGGATAAATCAATAAACTATGTTTGGAAATGGCTCAGCTTCTACGCTGAATCATTCCATTTTCCAGAACTATGCCATTCAGTTATCTCTAGTTCAAAACTTTCAAATTATTCTTATCACTTATCAAGAATATTCGTTACTGCTTCCCGATAACACAATCAATTATTGATGGATTGGCTTGTTGCTCAGTCAGTTTTTCGAATATCTACTTCCATACTACATGAAATTAGCTTTTCTTGTTCCACCCATTAGTCTTGTTGATTGTTTGTCTTCCTTGTTTCTGCTCATCATCCTAAACTGCCGCAGAGTAGAACAGAATCAAACTTCTTACTGGTTGCAGCAAATGAGAATTCATGCTTGTCATTGAGCATAAGTAGTACAGTCACTGTCATACAAGTCCAACTGTCAATAACGCCGACAATGGGCTCTCTTGTTGCTTCGTTCTATTGCCGTAACTTCCATTGGCACTTTGATTTTTCTAACTGCGTCGTCTTCTTTCTCTTACATATTGATTCAATCATATTACTTTTCATTTACAGACAAATACTAATTATTGATAAAAATGTCCAGGAGACAAGACGGTGAGACTTGTTTTTTGTTTTCAAACTATTCCGTATTATAAGCTTGAGTGTTTTAAATACTTTGTAAGAATTAGAATATCCACGTACACAGACAGTGCACGTGGAATTACGTGTTATGATGTAAGTGTTGTGAAAACATTTTCATTTCGCAATTTCAAAACTGAACAACGGTTGCATTTTTTTCTTTCATGGCTGCAACGAAGAATTTGTATGACTAACTGAGAATGTAGTAGTCAAACGAAATATCCTATTTGAAAACAAGAAAGAAAAATTGATGAAAAGAATGATACAAGATATGTTTAATTGCTTCCTTCAGATCATCTACTAGGATATCAGAATGTTCCACAGCAACCACAGACTGATCAATATGGAAATAATGGTTAGTTCACTATCTCTATGATCCTTTCATTGAAAAACAGAAACGTTGTTCCCAAATCCTATCGATCTCTCTCCCGATTGATTCTTCGAAAGTATAGTGATGACCCGAAATCTGCGGATTTACATTACTTTCCTCTGTTGTTATTTTACAACTCTTTGGCGCAAAGCGCGTGCAGCAACAACGGGCGTTACTTGCCACAATCCACTTTGTTTCTTTTTTTGGCGCTTGCTTCAGTTTGGTGTTCGAATTAAATCTAATACTTAACATGCATTTGATTCTGAAAGTATTTTGTTGGAGATTGTACTTCAAACTAAATGTGTTGTCTATTCCTACCGCAAATAAAATGAAGATGTGTAGTAAAAGCTTCAAAACATTGATTAGTTACTCCTCCATAGCTTTTGAACAATTACTATTCAGCGTCAATTTCATTTTTTTTTGCATACACTTGCCGTGCTTAAACAGTCGAACGCTCATACTTGATCCGTTAAGCTCCTATTCATAATCTAGATATTAGAGATTCAGAAATTTAGAATTTTCACGCTTCTTCTAAGTCACATGTAGACCGGGTAAAAGTGTGTGTATGTGTATGTGTGTGAGGTTTTCAATGCTATTTCACATTGTGATTCTCTATTTCTCTGCGTCTATTTGTGACAACGAGGACGTTTCGCGAAGAAATCTGTGGTATTATTATTCAATTCTTTGAAACACTCACTGATGATGAATCACGAAGTCTTCATGGAAGCGTCAGTAGCCAAAACCTATGTAACTTCTGTGGCCTTTGTTTTAATGAAACCTTTGGCAGCTGAAACTAGTTCATTCATTTGCGCTCGTTTTGCTTATCGATTTCTGCTATATATGCCTGCAATGTCATTGCGAAATTCTCCAAATTTCTCATATCATTATAGCTTTCATTGTACTCTCCTCATCTGAGACCTGTTTGCCTTGCCAAATTATCATACTTCCGCCCAGATGAAAATTTTTTGAGCAGTGCATTTTGTCGTCAATGACTACCAAGCTATTGATTACGCGAACATGTTTTTTTCACATTTTTCATATCAACTATCAGTTTTTTTCCATTCCCTACTGTTGCTGCTTCATTATTATTCTCATTTCAGTAATGAGTGGACCCTATCAGCAACCCGGATACAACCCACACTATCAAAATCCACCTTATGGTGCTAATGCTCCACCACCAGCAGGATGGAACCCGCATAACAACCAACAACCACCACGTAAGTTCAAACAGTATTAACCCATGTATAATGTATCTTTTTCTTTTTAGCATTTATGCCACCACCACATCCAGGAATGATGGGAATGGCAGGGATGGCCGAGGAAGGTAACGCTGGAGACAAATATCACTTCAACTTTAAGTAAGATTAATGAAGAGTTCACAGTTACAATCCGATTTTTAGTGATCGAACGATTCGTGCAGCTTTCATTCGTAAAGTTTTCACTCTTGTAACTATTATGGTAGTGACTTGTAGATGTTGCGTAGTTAAACCCATTCTTCCAGCTCTTGGTCGTAGCAGTTATGACTGCTGTACCTTTCTTTGACCGTGATATAAATTTGAAAGTCCGGAGTAGCATGGGAATGTATTGGGCTGCTTAGTAAGTTCTATTTTATTTTAAATGTTGCAAGCTTTTGAAATTTCAGTGGAGTTTTCTTCGTCGTTTATCTAGCATTAGTCTGTTGTGAGTCAGTCAGAAGAAGTTTCCCAGCAAATATAATTTTGACCACGATCTTCGTAAGCTGCTCCTCTATGATCCAAGTTACTGTTATTTCAGACTTTGGCTGTTGGATATATGACCATGATGATAACTGCTCATCACAAAATCGAAACCGTTCTCTTCACTCTGATCATCTGCACAATTTGCTGTGGAGGTATTGTCATTTTCGCTACTCAAACGAAATATGACTTAACCAAGTATTTTTTCTCTTGTATTTCTAGATTTTAAGATATGTTTTTTTTAGCATGATGGGTTTCCTCTTCATTGCTTCTATGTGTTTGATGGTATTCGGGCTTGTAGCTGCTGTTTCTGTTATTTGGTTCAAGGTATCAATCTGTATCTTTGTTTTTTCACAGTTTTTGTAGTCTCCATTCCTTCACCTGATTTATGCTGCTCTGGCAAGTCTTTTATTCATGTTCTATCTTGCCGTGGACATCCAAGTAAGCCTCGAAATGGCAAAGATCATTCCATAATGATTGTTTTGTAGATGCTTATGGGAGGACGAAAATATGAAATTTCACCTGAAGATCACATTTTCGCCGCTGTTCAGATTTTCCTCGACATTGTCTACATTTTCTGGATGCTACTTTCTCTTTTCGGATCGAGCAAGTAAGTACATTAGGTTATTATTCTTTGTCTTTCTCGCACTAACTTTTATGGATAACTGTAAGCGAAATTTTTGTCAAACTAGCGGGGCTTACATTGCTCTGTTATTTCAGAGATTAAGCTTTGAACAACACCTGCTTGTAAAAAATGTTCATTGACTTTTGCATAGTTTATAACGTGAGTTTCTGAAAAGAAAGGTAGAAATAGTTACATTAAAATGCTTCTTACGTTCCCTTTGTGTCCGGCTAACAGTCTCAGTACTCTCATTTCATCCCGGAAACATCATCAACTGTGTTTTAATCTTTCCATTTTCAGCAACTAGTCTACTACCATCTCTGGAAAAAAACGCTTTCTTCAATTCAAGAAAGTGCTGTGCTGTTCATAAAATTTATTAAAATTTGCTTCTTAATATATATAATGCTGTCTGTGTACATTGTAAAACCATGATTTCAGCCGTCTTTTTAATTTTTGGCTTCTTCATTATACTTGTACATGATGAATAAACACTGAAACGCATCTTCTTCCTTCTTTTATCTTTTCCCATGCTTCTTAAAATACGTTTTAGGGTTTCAGCATATAAATCTTTGTTACCTTCTATATCATGGATTATTGGGAGGATAAACGAAATTAAATTTCGGTTACGTCACTTCCAAGCTTTGCTAATCTCCGCGAAAATATCCCATTTATGGAATGTTCTCAATAACGCACAAACAAAAAGCAGAGTACCTTTTTCATTCTTTTCTCTCCAATACCACTTTCGGAGATTCATTTTTCTCATATACTGTGCTGATTTTAGTTCAAAAAATGATGTCGCTATCAGTTGATGGGCTTAACAAGTCTTCCTCATCGATTCCTCGATCAAGAAGAGTGTCTCTCAAACCGTTCGATGATCTTGAACAAATCAAGAGGTTTGCGTCTCTCAACGGCCTCCCCATTTATGAAGATGATTTCTCTGTCGTAAGGTTTTTTTTAAGTTCCGAGAATTGCTTTTTCATTTTAGATAACGTCGCAATACTTAGTCATTAAGGCGTATTATTTCCCATCAGGACTATCTGTCAAGATACCTTGGAATACAATTCTCAGAGTCAGCCATCTTATGTCTATTTATCATCGCATGCTATTTTCAGATATCATTTTTTAATCATCCATTCAAAAATGAATTTCCAGTTGCTAAATGGGGATCGACATCTGATAAATGCTGGTGGGCAAAAGATGATCTGAGGTAAGCTTATAACTTTTTGCAATAATACATTTTTTCCATAAAAGGAAATCACGGCTGAATCGCAGGCATGAATACGTGAGGATTCGATGTGCTGCCGTTACGTTCGATCGAGGTTTTAGCTGCGAGGATATAAAGCTTTTTTCGGAAGCACTCCTGAATGCCAAAATACAAGTGCTCATAGAAAATAATCTCAAACCTGATGATTGAAGAATATATCAATATACCGAAAAATCGATAAGAAATAAAAAAGAGATTGTACAAACTATATATATATGTTATAAGATGTCCATACAAATGTTATTTATGGTATTCGTTGAATTGCTCAGAAAATCGATCGATATTTCCTCCTTCTGTCACTTGTCTTGTATTACCAAATATGAATTAGTGATTATATATGATTTTTTTTTTCTTGACAAAAAAATTTTGAAATTTTTTTCTTCCGGCATCTCTGCAAGAGTCACAACCGTCTCACGCGCTGAGTCTGTTGAAAATGAATTAGAAATGCGTTCAGTTGCAACGAACGACGTGAAGCGAATTAGAATATTTACGTGTAAGGATTGTATTGGTTTCTTTATATGCAGCTAGATTGATTGTTTTACCTTTTCTGTCAACTCTCGTTGAATTGTAGATAGTTTGAATAGAACATTCAGTTGCTAGGATATTTCAAAACGCATTCGTGAATGTTTGATGACGTTTGAGCTTTAATGACTCAGGCACTCATTGCAGTTTCATCTCATTTTTTGATTAATAAAATTAACTTATATAGCCACGGTACATTTAATTTTAATTTTTCTTTAGATTTTGATTAATATGAAATGGGCTCTAATGTCAACTCTTCGGCTTCGAACATTCTTTGTACTAAATAGAAATTACATAGCTTATATCTCTAAGCTTGCATTAGCATTTTCTTTGATTTTCATTTTTTTGTTTATCGCATTTGCTTCGAGATCAACTGATGTTTCTTTGGAGTATAAACATTATCGGGTAAGAATCTATCAAACTTATTATGCTTCACCGTATCTCGTTGTTATGAAGATGTTAGGAGAGCCTGATCTTAGTAAAAGCTGCTTTGTACCTGTACTAGACCCATGGGATCCTTCCATTTTAAAATATTTCAGTAAGCCTGATCCTCTCATGTAATTTTTTTTTCGCTGAAATATCATAAAGTAGTAAGTTATAGATGTAAGCCTGTACAAGAGCCTGTTGTGGACTTGATTGATGGGCACTTGAAAGTATTTTTGTTTTTATTAAACTTCGAAAACTTAGAGCAAATTTAATTTCAGTTTGATCAAAATTATGTCAAAGGGCGAGTATGTTACTGGAGAGACTTTCATCACAATGATGGTGTCTCTGATTTTGACGTAGTGTATGGAGATCAGAACTATTTGAATTTCGCTGAAAGCGGCTATACGATCCCTGTGGATTCAGAATTTGTTGAAGTATCATTCAGAATAGAAATGAAGCGAACCTTATCGTTCTACAGGTAGTCTGCAAAACTGATTCTTTCCTTGGAACAGAAATATTTCGAATGCATTTCGCCCAGATTCCCACCAAAACATTTTCAAATGTATCCGGCACGTCAGTTTACCAACTTCCGTGCAGATAAATAAATTTCTCTTCTAGGCAAAAAATGATTGAAAACTCGAGCGCTGAACATCCGGCCGTTGTTATGATCGGCTTAGATTCCATGTCCAGAAATAATTTTATGAGACAAGTTTGTTTCCGTTCAGTAGAGTGAATAATATTAGAATGATTTTGGTACAGCTGCCACTAACACATAGCACGATGAAAAGATTAGGATTTCAAGATATGCTCGGACATGTCAAAATTGGAGATAATACATATGCTAATTGGATCGCCATTCTGACTGGAAAACGAGGAGTAACAACGAAGGTGTGCTCACAATAGCAATGTTCTCACTCATTCCTTCTATCTAGGAGTTCGATGCGGAAATTGACGAGAATTGGGGGATTTGTTTTGATGACTTAGATATCATTTGGAAGAACTTCAGTGCTAATAGTGACTTAAACCTTCAGCTAGCTTTTCTTAACACTGCTCCTTCCAGATTACGTAACATTGTTCGCCGAAGATAGGCCTGATATTGGAACTTTTAACTATTTCGGTTATCTTTGTGGCTTTAAGAACACTCCAGTTGATCATTATTTTCGGTTTCGTTACTTACTTGACAGATAATCAAAAATAAACTTTCTTTCAGACCTTACTGGCTCGCATCTTACTGGTCGTTTGCAGCTCTCAGATCTACGCCATACTGCTACGATTCCAGAGGGAAGCATGAAATACAACTGAAATATTTGGAAGAGTTGATAAACAGGAACAAAATGATTCAAATTTTTTATTTATTCAAGATTTGTCAGAAAATATCATGGCAAACGTCATTTCTCTTACTGGTGGATTCAGGATATGAACCATGACTACTTAAACCTCATAGGTTTGAACTGAAAGTGCTTTTTTCTGTTGATAATTTCATTCTAGGAAAAACTGATGAAGATTTCAATTCTTTCCTTATTTCGAATGAAAGATTCTTCGATGAAGCAATTGTTATAGTTTTCAGTGATCATGGTCATCGATATGATGCTATTCGTGAAACAGTAAGTAACTTTCACGAAACTGTTATTCGATATCTCATTGCAGATTGTTGGACGAATGGAAGCTCGATTACCGTATCTATCCATTAGAGTACCGCCAAAAATTGCATCCAAGTATAAGAATGTGAGTTATTAGTTTGAGAAAAATTCCTTTCAGACTAGTCTGATTTCAGCTGTTAGGAACGCTGAAAGAGAACTCTGCAAAGCTTACTACACAGTTTGATTTATATCAAACTCTACTAGGAATTGCAAATGTTAGTCTGTGTTTCGATTTCAGCATCAAGCTTGATAATACTCAGGGCGATCTGAAGAACTCTCCTACTGGTAAAATAAGTCGAAAACGGTCTTATAGTCTATTCCATCCAACCCCTGAGATCAGACATTGCTTCGAAGCAAACGTAAGAGTTTTTATGAAAAACGTAAAAATGATAAGAACACTGTTGGTTGTTTTAGATTCCTGAAGATTATTGTCCATGCTTCACAGAGCTGTCAATCAATTTGGATGAGGCGACAGTTCCTGCGAGTGTGTTTCTGAACTCAATGAATGATATGATTTTAAGAGGAGCTGACGCTTTATACGTCAACAGCGAAGATGAAATGGTCTCAAAAAATTAGCAAAAGCAGTTCCAGTAAAACTTTTCTTCAGAGTCAGAAATACTGCGCCAGACTTGAACTTTTATCAATAGAAGAAGCTACTATCAGGTTCCCTTCTCCTCATATTGTTCACGATGTACAGACTGGTGGTGAACTGCCAGCGAACGGACTATATATCCAGTTTGGAACTTACCAGAGTAGAGGACTATGATGTAATACCTTAAAGATATCGGATCGTGATAAAAGCAAAAGCTCCATCCAACGGACTTTTTGAAGGAATAGTTACAAAAAACCTAAAAACCGGGGTATGGACTACTGGAGAGATTGAAAGGAACAATAGGTATGAAGACACTTCTGACACTTGCCAGAACAAATTGTTTTTCAAGATATGGTAACAGCTCTGATTGTGTAACGGATAGAATCCTGAAGAAACTATGCCACTGTTTATCATACAACTGATCAGGGATTCTTCATTCATCCGCAGTAATATCTTCCATGTATCACAGATTCGTTCCACGTCGGAACGTGACCAAATAATTGGGAGTTGATGCAGTTACGCAACATTTAATCTAATCATCATCATAAATGAAGAATAAGGAATTCTAGAACCATTCAGTGATTCGCATGCAATCTGCCGATGGAAAAAAAATCATTCAACTTGAATAATTACTCTGTTTTTAACCAATTATGTTAGGAGCCAGGAATCCTACCCAGAAGACTACAACGGATATGGTAATGGTGGGACCACTGTCACAAATATGATTCCGAGTTTGAAGCTGCACTGATAACAAGGTTTGACCATTGATGAATGGTTTAACGTGTTATAGATCAGATTAAGTGAGAAAAGATGATGGGGCGGCCCCACCAGTCGAAAAGATCATTCCGTTGCGGGGAATCGAACCCCGGCCTTATGGGTGAGAGCCATAAATCCTAACCACTAGACCACAACGGATATGAATTTGGTAGTTTAACTTTGACTCGAATCACATTGACGGTTTTGAGACACAGGCAACAATGACACATACTTTTAACAATGACACTACCCAGTTATTACTTTGACACAAACTCGGTTCAAAACAAATTTTAAAATATTGAAAACAAAAGCGTCTAATAATGCATTTATCTCGTGTTTTTATTCTTAGTTTGAAATACTTCTGCTGATCCTTATTGCTTTCCATTGTACAACATAAAAACTGTAAACATCTCGTTCCAGGTGAAAACTTGTTTTTATTACTAACATTAACAAACGAAATGTGTGAGTTTCTGGAAATTATTAACTTGGGGTTCTCATTTTCGTTAGCCGGCTCTTTTTTTAGAATTTCTTTCTTAGAAACGTTTCGTTCAAAACTTTTCATGAAGAGTTAGAAATATTTCCGGCAGGTGAAACTTTGTATGCCATTGATCGAGAGTCTTTTAAACACATCAAAGACGTGACATATGACCCATACAACCCATGGACGGGTACTGCCTGTGAGTTTCTTTTGACTTATATTCTGCTCACAGATTTCCTTTAGGCGATGGGCTGGGAAACATCGTTCAATACAAATGTCACTCTTACAAAAGAAACGTGGTGAACGAGAATGGTTTCTTCAAAATGGATGAAAATGGAGATCATATTTTCAAAATATTCTCACATAGGCATCCGAAAACCGTTTCGTTAGAGAGAAAAGTAAGCTATTCTATTTTAGACTGCATATTCGTTTTTCAGGTTTTCTTTGTGTTGAACGATTCGAACCAACTCGTGACTCATGTGTATTTCTCATATCGTACTAACGTGAGTTTTTGTTTTTTCTCGAAATGAAACTTTCAGTTTAACAGATACCGGTTGTTCCCATCATATCTTTGAGGAAGAGAAAGCTGTTTTCTGCTCAGTCAGAAATTAAAGAAGCCCTCCGTAACCGAACTAAGGCCGAAGCCAAAGCCTATCTCAGAGACAATGGGATTGATGTTACTACTTACGAGGTAATACTATCTTTGCTTGATTATGTATCTCTCTTCTTTGCAGCTCACGAGTGCGTGTCGAACAGTTTCTTCACACAAAAAGACAAAGTTGGGAAGGAAACCCGCGACTGATCCGTCTAAGTTGTACAATATGTTCGCATGTTCATCTAATCATTTGCAAAAGTTGGAACCATTGCTGGTTGACAAAGTTGGTAAGTGATACATACGATTGAAATTCTTATTTCAGCGATTGCAGGAGAAAAAGCTACTATAGTTCAAGTGGTGACTTTTCCAGTTGCTTTTAAACATTTTGCAGCCCATCTACCAGATTTCCACAAGCTCTTGGAGCACAAAAAAAAAATAGAGCTGATGAGCCAAATGAATGAGATGGAAAGTGATGAAGAACTTCGTATGTTTCGTGTGAGAAACGTTATGAATATCGCTTTTAGGTCGCATGTTAGCACAAGTCAACTGTTCAGGTTCTCTACCAGTGATTGGTTCTTGTATCCTTATAGATACTACATTCGGTATATGCAGTGGTGAATACGTGACCATATGCTTAGGACTGACTAACATGTTCAGGTATAAATGAATCATGTATGCTTATGTTGTTTTTAGGTCGAAAAAATCTGAGAAAATGGGATCGTTCATGTTAGGTTACATGATTCATACGCTTAAGTCAGCTGATGTGCACGAGGTTTTCTCGAGAGCTCTTAACGATCGGTTGTACGAAGTTTCTCCAGTGAAACGTGTCCCCAGTGTCATTCACGACGGCGAAACGGCGTTCCGCGCATACAACACGGTATACTTCGTTATTTAGTAATGATTTGATTCCTCACATTAGGGGAAAATATTGAAAGACTCAACACCTCTCCGGTGTCAGATTCATCGCGCAAAAAACTTGAAAACTTGTTTCAAGAGCACGCATGAGTTCGAAGAAGTAAAAAAACTTCTTTTCGGGGAAACGAAAGATGTAGTTTTTGTGTTAAACTCAAGTTTTTTACTGCTGACATTTTTTCAGACACCTAGTGGCTCCATTCTGTTAACAGGCGCTCTCAACACGCTCAACTTTGAACTTTATGAAAGTCGTTTAACTAAAATCATAGATAACTGCAAAGAAGAAGAAGTCAAAAAATGGTAAAGCTGTGACGTTTGCTTCTGATATTGATATTAAGGTTGAACCGAAACTTGTATGACCTTTTTGAATATGATAGTCTATATAGTAGGCTGAAAGGTGGATGGACAACACATTGGCTCAGCACGAATATAATTGAGTCGAGGAACGCACATTTAAAAATTCTCATTCAATCTCCGTTGCCCGCCCATGAACTCATCACCACGTTGCTGACACTACACGAGGGTTAGTTTTTTTCTCATTTATTATGTAGTTTGTTTCCAGAAGAAATGAAAACAAGAATAGAAGCTGTGAAAGGAAAATCCGATTTGTGGGTTACTGATAACGTTGTTCAAAACTATGATCTACTCACACCAAAGGAGAAAAAAAGTGAGCTTAGTTTCTACGGTTTGGAGGACTTCATAGTTGATGATGAGCTAGCTAACTTTCCTGAATGGCTATGCTGCGGTGAGTAGGTTGCTCCCGTTATGACTTTAACTTTTTTTAGGGGATGGAAGAGTTGATGCCGCCATCATACTCGACATAGTGAGCAAGCTTTCGATACACCAATCGAGAAGTGAAGATACGGTTTTTTTTGTGGAGGACTGCAACGAAAAGTTTGGTGGCCGCACATCTTCTGTTACAAAAGTTTTAAAACTTGAAGCAGAGCTTGTCTGTACGCATGTCTTATGTAGGAAGCATAAAGACTTCTCGTTTTTCTTATGCGTTCATACGTAAGTTGTTTTGAAACGGACATACTCACAGAGCGATTTATAGGCTTGCTATTTTTAAGAAGCTCACCGATTCTGAGAAAAACGACTGTTTTTTGTTTCTTAACGGCAGGAGGAACACTAGAACTTTCGTGAGCTACAGGTTTAACAGTCAAACTGTAACGGATGGGTCAAAATATACAAAACGAATCGGTAAACAAATTTCCCAAGGAAATTACTCTAGAGTAATACATGGTGTTGGCAGGTATTTCAGAATTTTATGACAGGTGTTAGCTATACATTAAATTCTTTTTTTAAGACCATCTCTGGATAGCATATTAGATGGTTCATATTCCGAAGAAATCGAAGAAGATATATACCGTGTTGAAAACTGAGTTTACGTTTGTTTCTGTTCGTTGTGTTGATCAAGTTTTCACCTCACGCTTTTAAAAAAAAAATGTTAATATTTTCAATTTGAAAATTTGATAAAATTTTGAAAAAAAACCTAAGTTTCGAAAATCGTCGTATAGTGTCAAAGTAATAACTGGGTAGTGTCATTGTTAAAAGTATGTGTCATTGTTGCCGGTGTCTCAAAACCGTCAATGTGATTCGAGTCAAAGTTAAATCGCCTATGAATTTGGTGGGACCACTGTCCCAGATATCATTCCGAGTGTGAAACTGCACTGAAAACAAAGTTTTAGCAGGAATGGCTGGTGTAACATGTTAGAAATCAGATTGAGTGAGAAAGGATGATGGGGCGGCCCCACCAGTCGAAAATATCATTCCGTTGCGGGGAATCGAACCCCGGCCTTATGGGT